CTAAAAAAGTAACTAATTGCGTTACTTAGTTACTGTTTATGAAAAGTAATGTGTTATTACTCATCTGGCCTGGGCGTGCTTGTTTTTTTTTATATATAAAAAGGCTCTATTTCTGGCAAATGTAAAAGCCCTTTCATTCCCTCAGGCTGAAGGAAATGTAAATTCACATCTGTACAGTAGAGGGCGCAGCTCAAATAAACCTTTCAGCTGCCATTCTGGATTGCGTGAAGAATAGGACGCTCATTTTTGCTTATTAGTATGGATGAATTGAATCACTGAAGCTCAGCAGCAAAGACATTGGTTAATAAAATGGGATTAAATACATAAAGGATATGTGTGTTATTTAACATATTTAATTATTGCAGGTTTGCATCATATTCTGAGTTTGCATTTTACTGTTTTTATTCATTTTGGGGAATAGTGAGTCTGTTTTTGTGCAAGTGAGATGAATAAATGCATGTTCACATTTAGTCTAGATCTACAGTAAGATCATGTTCACACACAACACCTCTGCACTCACTCCTGATTTCAGGACAGGAGAGCTGTCAGTCAGTACATGAGAAACAAAGTAACTGGCGCTACTTATTTGATAAAGTAACTCAGATATTTTCTTGTAAATTAAAAAGTAATGAGTTACTTTACTAGTTACTTGAAAAAAGTAATCTGATTATGTAATTCACATTACTTGTAATGCATTAGTTTTTCATGACTATTTCTATGAAAAAGGCACCTATGCATGTAAAATTAGTAACTTTTCTGCACTGTTTTACAAGCTGCAGATATACTCTGTTGAGTCCAATATACAGCCTCATCCTTCAACAACAATCTCTTTGCAAAGCTGTATTGTGATAGATGCATAAAACATTTTGCACTCAAACGTGCCACTCAGATTGTTCAGATCAGACTGAATTTACTGCTTTAAACAAAATGAGATACATTTCAGCAAATTTTCAAGGACAAAAAAGGTTAATTGTCAGTACCATAGCGATGTATGAAGCACAGCTCACAAAGAATCACTTTCAAAACAAGCAGCTTTTTTCAGCTTTCAACTTGAATGTGTGCAAGTCTTCCTCGCGTGAAGCTTCCATATACAGTGGGTACGGAAAGTATTCAGACCCCCTTCAATTTTTCACTCTTTGTTATATTGCAGCCATTTGCTAAAATCATTTAAGTTAATTTTTTTTCCTCATTAATGTACACACAGCACCCCATATTGACAGAAAAACACAGAATTGTTGACATTTTTGCAGATTTATTAAAAAAGAAAAACTGAAATATCTGAAAAATTTAAGGGGATCTGAATACTTTCCGTACCCACTGTATGTGGATCCCTATTAAAATGACTGGATTTCACCCTTGAACTTTCGCAGAGCAATGGTTATGTGACGCATCTTAAAACTGTGATTGTTCAGATGGATCTGCAGAGCAGTAGGTACTACAAACAGCACAAGAGTTTACAGATTTTACTACATGTTACTCTTATTAGTTTTCTGTACACTCTCAGACAAAAAGGTACAAAAGCTGTCACTGGTGCGCAGGGTTGGGGAGTAACGGAATATATGTAACTTGGTTATGCATTTAAAATACAAAATACATTATACAGTTACATTTTAGATGGGTGGTAATCAAATTATAGTTACATCCGAAAAGTATTTTAGATTATCAAAGTCATTACTTTGAATTTTAATGTCATTTATTTAATTTAAACATTAATGTAAACAGTAATTGGTGAATCTCCGACTCTGACACTCTGCAAAAGTATCCTAAGCTACAGTTCTGCACATAAGTTTCACTGCAGAATATGCAACATTTTAATAATTTTAAAATAAAATTTCATTATTTTTATTTAGTACTGTCCTGATTAAGCTGTTTCACATAACAGATGTTTACATACACTCCGCAAGACAAAATAAATTAATTTATAAAAATTGCCCCATTCAAAAATGTAACTGTCTGTGACCGGAATGATGCATGACTGTTTTGATGTTTTGTGATAGTTGTTCATGAGTCTCTTGTTTGTCCTGAGCAGTTCAACTGCCCATTTTTCTTCAGAAAAATCCTCCAGTTCCTGCACATTCTTTGATTTTCTGAGTACTGATCATAACCTCTAAGAGCTTTGTGTGTGTGTCATGAAGGAAGATGATGGACTCGGGTCAGCTGGATTTCTATCAGCACAGCACTCTCTGCACAAACACCTGCCGTAGCACCAAATTCGACCTGCTGATCAACAACACGCGCTTCCCACCGGTCGGCAGTGGACTCAGCACACCCACCACAGCTCAGGGTCAGAACCACACACATCTTCCTCCCAGGAGCCTGTGAGGAAAAAGCAGCGGGGCAGAGAAACTCGGCGCTCGGTGACGAGTGAGCCCACGCCGGCTGAGCCTCCGCGGGCCTCACTCTCTCCATTAGAGAGGCTTCACCTGTCCACTTCTCCCTTCCGGACCAGCGTCCCTCTGCGGCTGCGAGCGATCTGGTTTCGTTTGGTGGGAGCGAGTGTGACAGCATGTCGTTGGTGGCTTCAGATGCGGAGGAGCTGTCGGGCTCGTCTGTCGACCCCACCCCCCTGCCATCTGCACAGCCCAGCGCAGCCAGCACGGGCATGGACGCCGAACTATTCCGTGTCCTGTCTAAAGCTGTGGAGGAGCTGGGTTTGGAGTGGTCTCCACCGGAGGAGCCCACCCGCAGCCGCTTGGATGAGTGGTTCTTGCCCTGGCACCTTCAGGCCCCTCGACAACGAGATTCACCATTCTTCCCCGAGGTCCACAATGAGACCACCAAGTCTTGGTACGCCCCCTACTCGGCCCGCCTTCGTGCCTCATCTTTGTCCGCCCTCTCGTCTGTCGACGGCGCCGAAGAAAAGGGGTACGACAGACTGCCTCCCCTGGATGAGTCAGTGGCCGCGCATCTCTGCCCACCCACGGCTATTGGCTGGAAGGCAAAGGCCGCCCATCCATCCAAGCTGTGTAGGACGACATCAGCTCTCGCCGGACGAGCCTACTCGTCGGCTGGACAAGCAGCCTCGGCACTTCATTCCATGGCAGTCTTCTAGGCCAAGCTCCTCCGTTGCATGGATATCCATCTGCCCAGACCATCTGCCCAGACCCTGCAGCTTTTAAGGAGCTGAGCAGTGCGACCGACCTGGCTCTATGCGCCACCAAGATGACAGCGCAGGCGATTGGGAGATCCATGGCCAGCCTAGTGGTGCTTGAGCGCCATCTATGGTTAAACCTCACGGAGATCAAGGATGTGGATAAGGTTCCCTTCCTCGACTCCCTGGTTTCCCTACTGGCCTGTTTGGACCTGCAGTTGAGGGTTTCGCCGAACGCTTTACCGCTGCACAGAAGTCGTCCCAGGCAATGCGACACTTCCTGCCAAAGTGCTCCAGTTCAACAGCTGCTTCCAGTCGCCCCAAGAATGAGCCGACTCAGCATCCCGCGAAGCCCGCACCGCCAGCTGCTCTCACAGCTCCTAAGCCCGAGCCTCGTCGATGCTCCCGCTTGGTCAGAAGCTACCCGTTTCCTAAACGCCAGGGCCCCCGACCCAAGATAGCGTTGGACCCTACGCCTCAGGCGTCATCCTGATCTGCGGGACAGGAAGAGGAAGGGGCCAAGTCTCGCTGCAGCCGGACCACCCCCCAAACAGCCTCTGTTGTGCCTCCGAGCACCCCGTTCAGTTCCGGGTGCCGGTGGCAGTGTGTTTGTGACAAAAAATTATGTTGTGAACATGGGGCACGTCCACACAACCAGCCGCTATTATAGCGAGGAAAATAAAACACAAACATTTTCAAAAAGAGAGCAAATTTCCTCTTCCACTCATTCTGAGTGTCAGGTCCCCATTGGGCGGCCCACCGCTCAAACCAATCCAACCCCTTGCCACGCGGGCCGAGGCCTGGCAGGCCATCCCTGGAGTGTCAGACTGAGTTATGGGGATAATAAAACAATGTTATACACTCCAATTAGCTCGAAGACCCCCGCGATTCAGCGGCGTGGTCTCCACCTCGGTTCGGAGCAAGGATGCATACGTCCTACGCGCCGAGGTTTGCTGGCAAAAGGGGCCATAGAAACGGTTCCCCCAGCCTAGAGTGAGTCAGGCTTCTACAGCCATTACTTCCTCGTCCCCAAGAAGGATGGCGGCCTAAGGCCCATCCTCGATCTCAGGCACCTGAATCGCGCCCTCATGAGATGGCTGCTCAGGATGATTATATTGAAATAAGTAAGTATGCCCAGGGGACTGGTTCTTTTCGCTGGACCTGAAAGACGCATACTTTCACATCCAGATAGCCCCCCGTCACAGACGATTGTTGAGATTCGCCTTCGAGGGAGTGGCTTATCAGTACACAGTCCTTCCCTTTGGACTGTCCCTAGTTCCTCGCACTTTTACGAAGTGCATGGATGCAGCTCTTTCCCCGCTGAGACAGACAGGAAGCCGCATTCTGAATTACCTTGACGACTGGAGACGTCAATTTTGCCAAGAGTGTGCTGTTCCCCAGCCAACGGATATCGTTCCTTGGAACAGCTTTAGACTCAGTCCAAATGAGGACGATAACCATGCCAGAATGTGTGCTGGCCATTCAGCCGCTTGCAGCCTCATTCAAAGTTGGAGCCTCTCACCTTCTCAAGGTGTTTCAGAGGATTCTGGGCCTCATGGCCTCTGTGTCTCCGGTACTTCAGTTGGGCCTGATCCGCATGCGGCCCCTTCAGTACTGGCTGAAACCACGAGTTCTGTCCCACGCCTGGGGTCTCGGACGCCTTCGTGTCAAGGTGGACAAGGCCTGTGTAACAGCCCTGGCCCCTTGGAAAGATCCTCAGTGGATGGAATGGGGCGTGCCCCTGGGAATCGTCTGCAGGAGGAAGGTGGTCTCGACAGACGCCTCCAACACAGGTTGGGGAGCGCTGTGCGATTTGCATACCAGCTTTCGGTCACTGGTCGAAAGAGGAAGTTCGACTTCACATCAACTGCCTGGAAATGCTGGCAGTGTGTCTGGGCCTTCGCACCTTTCTGCCAGACCTAAGGGGACACCATGTTTTAGTCCGTTCGGACAGCATGATGGTGGTGTCCTATATAAATCACCAGGGCGGCCTCTCCTTGAAGCGTCTCTTCACACTGGTGGAGCGCCTCTTGGAATGGGCTCAGCTCAACTTGTGTTCGCTGAGAGCAGCGCATGTGCCGGGCAGTTTGAACCAAGGAGCAGACATGCTGTCTCGGAGCAACGTCCCCTCGGAGGAGTGGACGCTCCACCCTCAAACGGTTCAGAAAATCTGGGAGATCTTCGTCAGGGCAGAGGTCGACCTCTTCGCCTCAGAAGACTCTCATTGCCCAACTTAATTTTCGAAGGACAGGGACGCGTTGGCCCACGACTTGCCCAACCTCATCCTTTATGCTTTTCCCCTGACCGCTCTGATCCCGCAGATAATCAGGCGAGTCAGGGAACAGAGACACAAGGTTCTGTTGGTGGTCCCGCTCTGGAGGAACCAGCACTGGTTTGCAGAGCTGTACCAGCTGCTCACGGCAGCCCCGTGGCCCATTCCCCTGAGACGAGACCTCCTCTCTCAGGCGAACAGAATGTTATGGCATCCTCAGCCCGAGCTGTGGGCTCTGCACCTTTGGCCTCTTGATGGGAGCTTGCGAACCTCCCCGAGAACGTGCTAAACACAATCTCCCAGGCTAGAACACCGTCTACAAGACGCCTCTATGCCCTTAAATGATCTGTCTTCTCCACCTGGTGTGCAGCCCGCGGCACAGACCCTATCTCCTGCGACATATCTCTGATATTGTCCTTCCTGCAAGAGCTGCTGGATAAGGGTCGTTCCCCTTCCACACTCAAGGTCTGTGTAGCAGCCATAGCAGCCTCTCACACTCCTATAGCTAGCCAATCGGTGGGCAGGAACAACTTAGTTGTTAATTTTCTGAAGGGGTCTAGAAGGCTCAACCCACCTCTCCCCATCACTGTTCCTACATGGGATCTGCCCACGGTGTTGAGGGCTCTGAAGAGCCCTCCATTTGAGCCGCTACAGTCCATTGACCTTC